CACCATTTTCTTGTTAAGGAATGTTAGGAGATTAAATTATTGTCTTACAATACGCAGATAAGGTAGTTATGTTTCGTGAAGGCACCGCAAAAATGTGGCCTCCTAATCTCCTCTAGCGGCAATGCAAGCATTTTTAAAGTCCAACTTTCTCCCTTTGAATGCAAAATGTAGCTCCAAAACTTTCATTCTTCAACGGCTTCACTAATAATTGTGAGTGTGTAGTTATCGCGTCAACCAGTTTGCTTATCTTTGGAGTCTTGTCAGTACTGGTGAGTTTGTAACCAATAAAATCTCGACACGGACACAGAAAGCTCAGTCGGATTTTACCAAATTGTGACGTTGATGTGGGTCCGTATAGAAACCAAAGGACAAGTTTGTCTATGTGGATAAAATAGAGTCTAAAGATATAGAATGTCCGTCTTTCATCTTAACAGAATTCTCCAATCAGTTCTATCCTGAACACTCCTTTCCAGTTGCTTCCAGCTGCTGTTCATTCTTTTCATGTCTGCTTCCAACTATGTACGCAGTGTGCCCTTTGGCCTTCCAAGTTTCCGTTTCCCTTCCGGATTCTAAATCGGTGCTTGCTTCGTGATGCAGTTTGGCAATTTCCTCAATGCGTGTCCTATCCACTTCCAGCGTCGTTCCGTTGGAAGCTGGTTTGTTCTCTCCCACAGTAGGGTTGTTGCTGATGATATCTGACCAACAGACACTGAGTATCTTGTGTAGACAATTGTTTATAAATACTTGTACCCTTTTGATGATGGTTGTAGTAGTTCTGGAAGTTTCATCTCCATACAGTAGAACCGTCTTGACGTTTGTATTGAGGATTCTGACTTTGATATTGGTTGACAGTTGATTTGAGTTTAATATGTTCACTGGCAGTAGCGATGAGGCCCTTGCTTTGCCGATCCTTTCCTTCACACCTGCACCAGATCCTTCTTGTTTATTGATGATGCTGTCCAGGTAGGTACGTGAAAGTTCCCAACTCTAGTGGAGCTTTCTCACCAAGTGTGATTTGGTTGGTGCTGTTCCATTTGCAATTGAGGATCTTGGTTTTTCCTTTGTGTATATTAAGACCTGCTAGTGCACAGGTCTCTACTACACTGATTGTCTTGATCTGCATTTGTTGGTGTGTGTGGGATGGAAGAGCTATGTCATCTGCGGAGTCCAAATTATCTAGATGCATTCAAGTTGTCGATTGCATTATGTGCTTCCTCTGAGATGCGGTGGTCTTCATAATCCAACCGACCATTAGATGAAGTAGGAAGGGCGAGAGTAAGTAACCCTGTCTGACTCCGATCTTCGCTTGGGATGCATCTGTCAGCCTTACTCCATTCATGACTTTGAGGTGTCCGTCGTGTGGATTCCAGATGATATCGACGATTTTCTCATCTACTCACTTTATAGTATCGAAGAAGATTCCATAAGGTTCTCATATCCACACTGTCAAACGCCTTATAGTCAAGGAAGTTGATGTACGGTGACGAGTTCCATGCAATTGGTTGTTCAACGATGATCCGTGATGTCACGACTTAGTTTGTGCACGACCGATATAGATTTACATCCAACATGTAAAACAAAGAGAATGTCACAAATGGTTTACGTGGCATTAACTAATCAAAATGGCATGGCTCGTCCATGCTGGAGTGGTCACTCTATATAACCTATTGCTTTTTGAATTGGATAAATTACTCTTCGCCGATCCTAAATGTGATCTTCAGAAGTGCTTAACGTCATATTGTCACGATAGGACTCTTCAGTGTAGAATATGATGTGACCTCCATGTAAGGTATTGTAGCTTAGATAATCACATGACAAATCTGTAACTTGGAACCTGTTGCTGAGACCTATCTTGAATTCGGTGAGTTTTTCAGTATCTCTAAGGAAAACCGTACTGAACCTTTGTAATATTGTTTCTCTAGTTGTCCAGTGTTTCTTTAGTTTCAGTTCCATCTTAGCCACAACCAGGTGGTGATCTGAAGCTATGTCAGCTCCTCTCTTTGTTCTCACGTCCTCCATTGACCTTCTGAATTTTTTTAGTGATGCAAATATGATCGACCTGGTTCTGTGTAGTGTGATCCGGTGAGACCCACGTAGCTTTGTGTATGTTTGTGGCGGAGTGTAGTAATGCCACCTATCACCATTTTGTTGAATACACATGAAATTACAAATCTGTCAGCATTCTCGTTCCTTTCTCCCAGTCGGTCAATGTCGTGCCATGATAGCTTCATACTCGGTGTTGTCCATTCCGACGTCGGCATCTAGGTCTCCCCATCAGGATGGTCAGGTCCCTTCCTGAACATTTCGCTATGATCAATTTCAGCCTCTCATAAAACTGATCTTTATCGTCTTCATTGCTATTATTGGTGGGTGCATAGCACTGGATGACATTGTGATTCCCTCCTTCTTTGTCTTAAAGGATGTTCTGACGATTCTGGATTCATGAGATTCGCATCCCGTAAGTGATCTTTGTGCTTCTTTGAATAGTATCAGTGCAACTCCTTGTGCATAGGAGACGTTTTCTTCCTCATGATTAGAGTACAACAGCATCTCTCCCGAATCTAATCTTTTCAGTGCAGCTTGGATTTAGTGGGTCTCATTTATTTCGTTCACCACCAGGTTATGTTTCCTCATTTTCCCAGCTACTTGACTGGTCCTCCCAGCCTCCCACATTGTTCAGACATTCTATTTACTTATATTAATTACTCTGGTTGTTAGAAGGGATCCAAGTCCTGTGACTTCTGAGAGATGTCGACTTTCACTATGATGTTTCATAACTCTTTCACATGAAGATTCTTTACCTGCCGACTTGGAGTTTAAATGGTTTAAATGATTTTTTCCTGGTTAGTGTTCTTTAACAATGTTGTGAAGATTGGTGAGTCAGTGTGCTATGGTAACTTAAAGCCGAGAACATGTGAGGTACTATGCTGCATATTATTGACTGACTGATGCCAGTTTTCTACGCAAAAAATCAAACTGTGGTCTTGGTCAACAAAAACTCCATACAAACTGGACCTCTCACTCTAGTTAGTGGATAGGAAAAAGAAGATTGGACAGTCTTGTTCACCATATTAGAGCTGAAGTTACAAAGGTACTGCTTAGTCCACGAACGTATCACTAATACTCAAGTAATCCCTGTTTTACCAGTCACTTTTTTTGGCAAGATTCTCTTAAATTTTAATTAATAAGTAGTAAATTCTTTAAAAATGATTACATCAAAAGCAACAGCTCTCCACTCACCGATTATTACCTCCAAGTCTAAAAACAGGAAAGTTGACATAGATGGGAAATTGTACCAAATTCTCAAGTCACTATCTATCAACCGAGGTTAAAACCACATTCTTGTGTTCAACGACTTTAAGTATCACTAATTAGTATTGTTGACTATGTGTGACGCATATATATTTGGTGTCCCCTTGTACCAATATTTATGTGTTCAGGTAAATAATTAATAAATAAATAATAATTGTAGACTATTTATTGTGACCAACAACTAATTCCAGTGTAAATATAGTGAATATATTTAAATACGTAGTAATTATGACATCCGTATATCTTAACAAATTTTAAAAGTAACTTTCGTTACAGTTCTCCATGTAAATATCACTATTACCATTCATTTTGACAATTTTAAATAAATGTAACGTTGTATATTTTGTTTATGATATAAGTAACATGTTTTTTGTACGTAATCAATAGAAAATTTAATCTCCAACATGTAACCACTCTGAGTCTCTTTTTAAAAGAATAAACAATTTTTATTATTTAAGGTTTCTCCTAATAATTATTATAACAAATTGAACCAACTTATCAATGAATAAAAACAAGTTTAAGCATAGCGCTTTTGTTATTTGTTGCGAAAATTAGACAGACATCAACAAGGAGCCCGGTACACATCTACGTTGACCCGAGTTGCCATATCACAATAGCACGTCGAGATGGAAATAACCTTTAGTTTACTTATTCAAACTCTTGTTCCACAGCCGTTAGTAAAACAAAGGGGGTTGCTGCGCGGTATACGTCCTTCGTGTGGAAGACGACCATCTTGTGAAAATAACTGTGTGTAGGATGATCCCCACATATTGTAGTGTATTTGTGAGTTAATCTGTACCATGGTTTGATTGCTTTATGTGTGATATTTTGGATACAAATTCCAGGTTAGTAAGATAATAAAAACAGTCCTTCTCATTTTGCCTAATAGTATTCAGCACAAAGCACTTTAACTGCTCATCATTGCTTATAGGTGAATAAATATTTTCGAATGGTTCGATTTTTTAACGTGGTTAGTTATTTATTATGGCGTGCACAGCTGTTGTTGATTTAGTCGGTAGATCTCCAATCTCGTCAAGCATATATTGAGGTCCTCTTATATAGTATAGGTTCCCTTCAACACGAATTAGGATTTTACGAGGTAACTCTTCAAAATAGAATTTATCCCAACTCCTGTAGTCAGTATTGCTTTGGAATAAATGAAAATTCAGTTTTCTTCCTGTATGATATCCTTATATGCAATCTTTCTTTATATATTAGTACCTTTGAAGTAACTACTATGAATTTGGTGGTCATCTTGTTGTACTAATGAGGTGTGGGAACGTGGATCGATGTGTATATGTACCTGATCCTACGTTATAACTGATTGATTGATTTACTGTTTTTGAAGTGATTTTTAATTCAATAAGAAAGATTGGTTAGGCAGTTATTATTATTTATTATTTATTTGAACACAAATATTGGTACAAGAGGGCACCAAATATATATGCGCCACACCATATTTGTGTGTGTGTGTGTGTGGGCTGTGATACTGCCCGGGTGCCCAGGCCGAAGCAGATGGTTTTCTTAGGGGGCCACACCCCAAGCCTTTGACCTAAAGGTCTGATCCACAAGGCAGTGGAGCATCGTGAGGAGATGCAGTCCCATGGTAGCCGGTGACTAAAAATTGGTTCATACGTCATTTGTTCCTTCAGGATACTGAAGCCCATGTGCACTATTGGTTTGGGATCCAGTTAAAGCGCCGGACATTCGCTTCGCTTTTCGTCCTCTCATTTTCGTAAACAACAAAAGTGCCACTAGAAGGCAGTGAGTATGACTTCTCTGGCAGAGGCTGTATACGCGTGGCCATGTGAGAGCATTTTGAGAGGGAGGGAGGACCCACCCCACTCTCGGCCATACCAGGGCATTTGGAGGCCGTATTGTTCTGCAATTCTTTTTACTTCTATTGTATCTTGACGTTGTTGTTAAACTAAAGTTTCGACTTTTCAATAAATAGTAAAGCTTTGCGTTATAGGACATATTAATGACCATTAGAAAGTCAATTGTAATACAAGGTGTTTGATTTATTCTTTTTATACATCTGGAAATTCTTTAAAGCTCGTTTAAGGACATTGAAAGCACTGTATGCTGGGGTAAATGAAATCGAAAAAAAAGTTTATCAACACCCTTAAAACTGTTTCGAAGTTGAGCAACGACATTAACTCTTCCTTTTAGACCTATATGCCGTACTACCGTGCATCGGTCTTTTGTTACTACGATATTGCTTGAAAAAAGTAACCTATTTATCAATTCAAGTTAATGTATTTAGATTTAACTTATATTTTGTCCACTGAAGTACTTTAACCAGTGAACTACTTTTCCTTATTGTTTAAGGGTCACTTGATGATTTAAGTACTTGGCATTGAACCAGTAAGTTGCAGCTCCGAACTCTCCATCACCTATATCGATTTCAGCATCTGAATAGTATCACTAACCGTCTAGCGTTATGTGGACACATTCTATGTTGCTTCACTCGCTTGAAAATCGGTCTTGATGAATGATTACCTAAAGAACGCCACATTATGTTTTGGGGCACCCTAGTGGTATACAATCCTTACACAAATTAAAACAATCGGAAATATAGATTACCAACTACTTACGTTATAACCACTTGTTCAAAAACCTTCATTTTATGGTTTGAAATAAGCTCATTTTATATCGCTTTATTTTCATATGGTTTAGAGCATTTTACAACTTTATTATAATCTTTATGTCATTGAACAACTTATCTGTATTGGAAGTTCTCTGTCTAGACAGTTTTAGGCCATTTAGATGATTGCTTATGAAAACTCATATCCCAATCTAATTTCTGACCTGTCTATTCTAAAAGAATTTTTACAGTCAGAATTTATTTAAAGGTTTGCACCTTCATGCAGTTCGGACAATGAGTAGGTTTTGTTAAAAACATAATCTAGCTGCTGATATATGTCGTGTCTCTGAAGTCGAAGGCCCAGTAAAGTACTGCAAATTCGTTCTCCATTAGTTGGTTTCAGTGTCGTGTTTCATGTTCATCTATCGTAGAACCGTGTAACCGTGATACAGCCTTTCTGAGCTAAGGTTCTACACATTTGATCATCATTGTGTACAAAAGATTGTTCAGGTTTCTCAGCAACACGATGTATTTTTGGTGTTCTCTTAATACCAGTTCATCCATGCTGTAGACAAATGTTCTATCAGGGATGTTATGTCAAAATATCGGGTTCGGAAGTTTTGATACGCTATTCGCAGAAAATCCCGGCAACTTTTATACCAAGCACTAACTGCTAACAACTAGGTTTAGAAGACAGAAACAATCAGTTTATGATACGGTTGTCAGCAGTCGAAGGACAGTTATGATAACAGACCAAGAACTTATTTCTGTAAACCTGCTCAGTTTCATTCCCTCTTTTTCGTTGTTGTGTTTCATCGCGCTTTTAAATTCTTCCTTTCTTTCGACATATTGCAATTTATTTCTTCATGGAACTTTAAAAGTCTACTTGTATTGTGCCACATTTAGGTCGCCTTAAATCTGAAATAGCACCAGCACTAAAGTATTTGAGTAATGGTCTTATGGCTTCTAAGTCTCAAATAATTGAATTGGATCTCAGTGACAACGCTTTCGGTCCAAATGGGATTGTTGGTATAACTGATTTACTGGCGAGCAATACTTGTCACACGCTTGAGGTTAGTGTTGTTTTAAAAAAGTTTTTAACTATTGATGGTTTTATAGGTACTGCGAATGAACAACCAAGGTCTTGGGCATGAAGGATGTCGATATCTTGCAGAGGCCTTAGAAAAAGGACGATGTTTGTCAAAGAATCAAGGACTACTACTAAAAATATTCTCTGGAGGAAGAAATCGTTTAGAAAATGTCGGAGCTCAAATGCTTTCCAAGGTTTTCTGTGATATGGGGTCCTTAGAAGAGGTATTTCATAGAAAGTTGAAGTTACCTTCTTTTATAGCTTTCTCTGTATCAAAATGGAATTGGAATTCATGGGGTAGACGGTATTTTGTCATTGGTGAAAATAATCAAATCTAATCCAAATTTACGAGTGTTAAATTTGTCGGACAATTCACTTACTCCACGTGGTGCCGAAGCAATTGCACGTGCCCTACCTTCAGTAGTCAATCTAGAGGTAAATTTATTTACAAAACATGATCTCATTGTTTTCATTTTCATAAATATAAAACTGCTCTATGTAAATATCTTAATTTAATTTGGTATGATTCTACGCAATCAATATAAATGTGATCTAGGGTCATGGAGATTGCTGCATTTATGCTAGTCAAGATAAAGGTCTTAAAATTCTGGCAAAAAGCCATAGCTAATGGCAGAGTCTGGTTATATTGGTAGATAGTGAGACAAATAGCGATCAGATAATCTATCATTGTTTATTTGTTGTACTTTGGTACGCTCTATTCATGGTACCAGAAATTAGTGTTTACAATTAATTGGCGTTCTGATTCACATCTTTAACTTTCCGTAAAAGATCGAATTGACGCTTAATTCCACATGAAATGAACTTCAAATAAGTTTGAAATGTATGTACGGTAAATTCGTTATTTATTTAAACACACAAACACGCGTACAAGGAGGCGTCAAATATGTGTGCGCCCCGCTTCGTCATTCGATTTGTGTGAAAGCTGGGATACTACCTGGGCGCACAAAACGAAGCAGGTGTACGGTAAAACAACCATTTATTTTGATAAATATTGACAGCACTCCGATCAGGTAGGAGTAGTACTCCAATCAGTGCACTAAAGTGCCTATTTACTGTATGATATCCGCATAAGTTACTCATCACACAGTTACTGGGTCTTTGGTGTCATCCTTTAATTAAAAAAGTTTTTCGCAACTTGATACGATTATACTTGTTTCAGATATAATCAGCTAAAAAAGTCAGATTCAGAGGTAAACTTCCTTGGTGATTAACTTGTTCCTTATAGCTTCAGATTTTAGTTCTATAGTCGCTGTATATTGGAAGAGTCGTATATTGTTGGCTTGTATTCGGTTCTTATCCCTCTCCTTTTTCTAATTCTTTATTGAATACTGTTCTGGAAATAGTCTGTCGGCTAAATTAACTGACTGTCAATCTGGTAAAGCATCTTTAGACAACCTAAGTATAACTAGTGTCCATAAGTCGGTCCTATTTCTTCGTAACTAAAACTACGTTACTATGGTGCTTTTCTGACTCTTGTTTTTATAGGAACTTTATTTGAGCGATTGTATACTCCGATCAACTGGTGTAAAGGCACTTGCTTCCGCTTTTGAAGATCCTGACATCACTCCCAATTTAAGAGTTTTGAATCTAACTGGAAACGAAATCAAACTGTCTGCTGGGATTAATTTAATTCTATCCTTGGGCAATAAATCCCATTTAGAATTACTAGACTTGAATGCTAATGAATTCGGTCGCTGTGGTGTTCGATCAATAATTCAAACGCTTGATTCAGTCGGACTTTTGCACACATTACCCAATCCAAACGACAAAGAAGATTCATCAAATAAATCAGTTACAGAGGAATCCTATTTATGGGCATTTGACGAAGATCAAGGTTCAGATCAAGAGGACGAAGATGATGAAACCAACGAAGGAGAGGGGGAAGAGGATGATAATGAAAATGCAGAAGATGATGATTCTAGAAGAAGTCAATATGGAGATGATGATGATGATGATGATGAACGAGAAAATCACACTGATATAACTTCAGACCAAAAGGAGAGTAAGTTCACACGCCTTTTTCAAAGAAAATGTTCAGTTGTATTATTCATATCACAAATAATAGTCCAATTTATCCTAGTATAGATGTTGTTCTCTTTTTGTCATTGTTTATGTTTGAAAAAAGGACAATACAAATTTAAACCGTCTAATGGTGAGTTTCATCGGTCTTACACATACTATAACTAGTATGACGCCAGTCAGTCATAGGGAAACTAAAACTTAACAAAAGTACTGACCATTAGCTCAAATTACTACATCAATAAGATGATGAATGGTAAAGAAGTCGAAATATTGGTAATATGAATGATATTAAGACTTACTAATCATAGGGAATATGATCAAATTATTAGAAAACTATTAATGTAATAAAAAGTACAAAATAATGTCGAAATTGAATTTTGTTGGAAAATAGGGAATAAATTCATTTGCACCACTTTAACAAATCTTAAGTCATATTTTAGTGAACGAGAACTCAAGTAAAGACAATCGAATGTATTTGAACACAAAATTACAGAATCTCTTGATAAAATCTGAGAACCATACAATAAATACTTCATTTGCAAAATATCAGTCAATCATCTCAGACTTGATTGTTTCTTCGTTTCCACACCAATCATTCAATGTTCTCGTTCTCTTTTCTCCAATCTTCTTAACCGTCTGCCGCTAGGTATTTCACTTTCGACTGATGATACATACTACTAATATCACCTATCGTCTCCAATTACCACACTTGGTTTATGTTCAAACTTGTGAGTGACATGTCTGTTAATTAAGCTTTATGTAATAGTAAACATTGGGAACTTGGTTCCATTGCATAAAAAACAATTATAACTACGGTAATGCAGTTTTAATTCACGTATTGAGTTGAATTATAAATTCACGTCACCATATCAACTTATTGGTCTAAAGTTTAAGTACACTCCACCAAGCCTGAAGGTCCTGCATTTGATCTTTAATGGTGTCGTGGACGTTTACTAATGAGGAGTCCCATATTAGGATCTAAAAGCTATCCAGTGCTTCCTAACTTCTACCGGTTTTCTAACTAAAGCTAATTTGTGATGTGGAACTTTTCAAACGTTTAAGGTGTATAATTAAGTTTGAAAGATCCGAACAATATTCAAGTACTAAAGAGAGCATTAGATTGTGATAGTTGTTCATCATTCTGTGCATTATCCAACGTCAAAATAAAAAATATAATGATTCATTAGTTCATAGTTGCAAGTCTTTCGAAATTTATATTTTTTGTTTTTAACATGAGTCAGATGGTTCCACGTTGACTATAACTGATTAATTGACATTTATTCTGTCTTATATTCTGGATTAATTTTTTGTATTAATTTTTTTTCCACAGTTGATACTGCTTTCTCTCTTCTCCTTATCTTGCTAATCGTTTCTGTGTTTGCTAATTTTATGAAGTGTACCAATACACTTATCTGATATTATATTGCCTATGCTTGGTTCCGACCAAGGTTTTCTTCTTTTACTAACCCTTACGTGGTATAAATTTATGTACTTGACTTTAAGCTATTCTAATCGTGAAGGGTGCCGATACACTACCCGGGCCACCAAACTGGCGTTGGTGGATCAGGATTTAAGCCAGTAGTTTGTTGACTGAAAGTCGAACACTAGCATCTGAGTGACCGCTCAACTATATGCTGACTGTATACACATGCATATTGTTGTAAATCCAACTTTAATTTCCTTTTGTTCCTAATAGGTTCAGGCGTTAATTTCAGTTTTCGTGAGGCATTTTCAAAAATTGGAACTATTGGTGGTGGTTGTTTAACCCCACAAAATGAAAATATCCAAATAAATAAACCTGGACCTTTTGGTAAACAATCACTTGGTTTATTTTCTGGAATTTCACCTCAAAACACTGATACAACAGATGCCGGTGTGATTCGTTCAAAACTATGGCCTTCTTCAGGTTTAGGCAATTTATTCAATTTTGGTGATAATGCAAACGCAAAAAGAAATCTATTTTCTCCACCAATTCTATCGAATAAGGCTGTTGGTCAAGTTGTTGATGAAAAGAAATTAGATGAGGATAAACTTAGACAACTTTTAAACGATGCACTTTGTAATCCAAAACAAGAAATGAGTAGAAATCGTTTGATCGGTGAGTTAGTTATTTGGTTACTATTTCATTAATTAGTATTTAGATGAGTACAAAACTCATCCAGCGCTCCTGCATTTTCATTTGGTTTCTTAGATAATTCAAAGTCGTAACGAAAAAATGTTGATAATTCAGGAGTTATAGCAGGAAATGTTTCAACAGGGATGGCTAAAACAAATCATGACTCCTTGTTTGTAGTGTGTTAAATATTTGAAATAGACGTTTGAAACTGTGAGCGGTATTAATGCTAAGCTCATCTCCTCATTAATACATTCACTGTGATTTCTTTTCAAAGTACAAGACCATTGTCTTCAGACAGAGAAAAGCAATTTAGTATTCATTACAGTTGTCTATTTAAGATGCTTTACTTTATGTATTAGTAAACTGAGATAAATCTACTCAAATCTTCTTTCAATGATCTTCCTAGCCGTTACTTGGTGAAGACACACTCTATGTACCATGTATTCCGTTTTTAGTAAGTTTTTCGGGTATATCACCTACAGTACTGATATTGTAGTGAACCAAAACTCAGGTACAGTAGATCAACTTATTGTTTCATGCAAAATTACAGTCTTTGTAAAATATGAAAATCATACATTAAGTAAATCGTTTGCATATCTTCCTTGAGTTATCCCGTGCATACTCCATCATTCTTTTAATTCTGTTGTTATTCTGATCGCTCTCTGTTTTCCTTCCTGTTCTCTTCAATTCAATCCTATGCTGGTAAGCATTCTACTTCTAATTCCTGTTATATACTACTTATTATCTATCCACATGAGATGCACACATCACAATATAATGGGGATCAAGTATGATATTCGCTATCCATTTATACAATGCTTTCGTTACGCATTTTAATATTTTGTGTTCATTTTCTGGTGTACTACTTACTCTGATCTTATGTCTTATTTTCTGATCAGATTTTACATGGTTAGTACAGTAATATAAAACAAGACTTCTGTTAATACCCATATAGTAGTAAATTTAAATCTCGTTTATTAATAATTTCGAATTAATTGAGCATTGGGTTGATTGTTATAAATAAACAAATAATATATTTGTAATATCGCAATGAGTAGAAAATTAGATTTTCTGACGTTTCGTAACTTAGTGTAAGTCACTTCTTCAGAGAATAAATAACCAAATTAAAATTAATCCAAGTTTAAATAGTAGAATGGAACAATGCAAGAATATTCTCTGAAGAAGTGGCTTACACTAAGTCACGAAACGTCAGAAAATCTAATTTTCTACTCATTAGGATATTACAAATATATTATTTTTACTCGTTTAATAATGTTTATTTTTTTAAAAACGCAAATCGGTCTATCTGGTGATCTAATATTAAAGCATTGAATTCATGTAAATAGGCTTTTGAATAAAGAAATTCATCTTAGATATCCGTATACAATTTAAGACAACTTAGATACAGGTAAATAAAAACTGGCTAAGTCCATTCATGTTTATTGTATTATTATGTTTAAAGTAAAAGTGTTCTAAAAGTACACAGATTTACGTTTGTTCATTCCAGATTAGTCAATTAGTTATAAGCAATGTACAACTTGTTATATTTATATATCGGTTCAATTTACCAGACCAAATCAATACGCCCAGACTAAATCATCATGAGATATGTCAGAGTAATAGAAGGGGTAACAGTAGTAGTGTTAGTAAAAAAAACATTAAGCATAGACAATCTGATTCAAGAACAATAAATTCAAAGATTAAATTATATAAAGATTATTTTTAAAAATTCAAGATCTAATTTTTAAAAAAAACGGAATTCATCTAAGCCATTGCGAACTATTCTGAGCTATACCACGCAATGTGCGATAATCATGCGGACCTCAATCAAATAGTCTGCACCTACCTAGATGGTTTGGTTCGATTGCCAATGACTTAATGAATTGGTTCAGTCACCCCTAGCTTCTTTGCAGCCTACTTCTATGCCATTATACGTCTCAAAATAAGTTTGTGTTAACTTTTAATTCTCTGTCATTGCTACTATTCCATTGACTTTTTCTATTATATCATGTATATTCGTTGTTTTCATTTTCTCAATTTTTCTAGACTTTCTTGGATCTACTGAATACTTTAAACAACCACCGATACATCCTGTTATAATGTTATGCTCACAAACAGCTTCACCAGAGAATATAGTTCGTTTAAGTTTAGCATTATCACGTAGTGTTATATGTCAAACAAATTCTGTTTCTGGTGCAATTATGCAATTGGCTATTGGTTTATTAGCTTCAGTATTTACAGATGTTTATAAAAAGAATAGAGATAATCATCGTATTAGTTGTGCAATCAATTGTCTTCTTGTTTATTTAGGTGCTATTAAACCGGAAAAAGATAGTGAAGATTGGGTTGATTGTTCATTGATGACTACTACTACTAATAATAATAGTAATAATAATAGTGTAAAATTTAATATACAGCATTATTTACGATTGACTAAAACACTGATCGATTATTTCGGACCACAATTAATACCAAGTGTATGTAATTGTTTAACGGTACTTTTATCGGAACAACGTAAAAAAGAAATGCATTCAGAATCATCTTCTAGTCATGATATTCACACATTGGATGGTATTCATTTACGTGATGATATTATTAATTCATTAGAGAAACAAATGACTTCAATGAATTTGAAGTGTTCAAAATGAAGAAGAGAAATATTTTTTTTAAAAAAAGAACAACTCAGAAAAGACAATGAATCTATATATATATATATATATATATATATATATATATATATATATATATATATATATATATATATATATATATATATATATATATATATATATAGATTATGTATTGAATTCAATAGAGAGATTAAGTATTATAGAGTTTAATGTGAAGAGAATAAATGAGATATAATCCCTGATTGTGTATTTACATCTACGAGAAAGAATTACAGTATAAAACATTGTAAAAAGAGATAGTGTAATACTGTACATAAAATTAAAGTTAAATAACAATTCAGTATTTGTTGTTGTTTATGCTTACTGTTATTAATATTATTATTTTCCTATCAATCAATCAATCTTCCCTCGATAAACTGTCATTGTTTCTGTAATGAATTTATGTAGTCTGAATAAATAATTGTGATTGTGTTATTCATTGTTGTTTTCCATATATTGTGTAATGGGCACAGTATGCACATATGCCAATAACAGACTGATCAATTGCAGTCTTAAACCTCAATTGGAAGATACAAGCCAAACAATACCAAGTGAATTCAAATTCACCCCATTGCACAAGCAAGTGGCTATCAGGACTCAGTAGCTGAGTAGATAACGCGATGGCGTTTGAAGCGAATGGTGGTGGGTTCGAGTCCCAGAGTGAACATCAACTCTCAGATGCAGGTACATCCAGCTGACGAGTCCCAAATAGGACGAAGCGCGCGTCCTGGATTCCACTGCTAGCCACTATCCATCATTGCTTACAAATAGCTTGTGAATTATGGCAATATCGAGGCATACGCACAGTATGCACATATGCCAATGAGAGACTGATCAATTGCAGTCTTAAACCTCAATGGGAAGATACAAGCCAAACAATACCAAGTGTATTGTGTAATGGGTTCGAAATCTCACGTTGGTTATTCTTCTTGTGATCGTCCAGTTGTCTTAGTTGACTTCTAAAACTGTTTATTTTGGTTAATTTATTTTGAATATTCCAAAGCTTATATGGCTTCAGCATAGGCTTATATATATATATGCGTGTTAATTTACTCAACAGTAGTTGTAAAGAAGTGTGGTTGAAACCTGAACACATAAATCTGTACTTGATAAATAAAATCCAGTAGGAGAAAAATGAAACATTTAGAAAATAATGACTATGTTGGTGCTTTACTGACTGTAGGGACTCTATAGGGAAAACTTACCTCTACAAAACTGAAAAACTAGTTGTTTTCAATGCCTCTCCGAACGAGATCAGTTTGTGATGGCTATAACTTAAACAAAACCTCTTTTAAAAAGTGGTATTTTTGATTTTTACATATGTAACACAGCCATATTAGTAAACAAACGTTTGTCAAAATGGTCCAATTTGTTTACTGATTATCCTAATGATTAGGAATTTCTGTTAAGAATTATGTAATTCCACCTTATTGTTTGTTACACATTGAATAACTGTTGCCCTATTCAATATTTCAATCATATTTCTGTTTGAACTTGAGTAATTAGTTTAAATGATTGAAAGTGATATTTTTTATTCAAACTCCTCCCAACATTACAACGATTGACATATTTATGTATATGCTTCCGAAGGGTTTTTTTGGAGATTGTAGTAATCTCAATAGTTGAGATCATGAGTCAATTGAAGCTAGACCACCATGGAAAACCTGGAAGCACTGGATGGCCATCTCGTCCTATTGTGGGACTCCTCAGCAGTACAGATCCACGACCCCGCCTCGTCAGATTCAAACCCAGGACCTATTAGTCGCGCACGCGAGCGCTTAACCACTAGACTACTGAGCCGGCCGGCATCCAATGGTGTTAATGTCTAACTTTAACTAATCCACGAAATCGAACTACACATCCACCATTGTCATCAGTGAGTTACTATCTTACAACAGACCCGGTTGAACTCCACTGCTTCCATTCACATTTCGATCAGTACTATTAATACTTATACTTAAACTAATAGCAATTATTATAATAGTAATAATACTACTACCAATATTAAAATAATAATAAATATCCCACTCCTAATATTGTATAAATGAATAGTTTACTGAAATAAAGGAAAAAAACAGTATTCATATATGTCTCCTGAAGGATATAGAATTCACATATCAGAAATTTTATAGGTAAATTCATTGAATCAATTGAAGCTAGACCACCATAGAAAATCTGGAAGCATTGGATGGCCGTTTTTTCCTAGTATGGAACTCCTCAGCTTTAATTGATTAATGAATTCAACTATAAAAGTACTAAAATCTCCAAAAAACCCCTTCTGGCAATATTAGAAATTGTTTATAATACCTTTTTCTCGAGTGACATTTTATCCATCGTTGAGTTTGCTTTCTGTAAAATCAACAATTTCTGGACAGTGTATAGAATATTTATTACATTTTAATGATATGTGACATTAATTACAAATACAATACAGAATTGATGGATACTTTTGCAAAAGCAAACTGTTATAAATTACAATATTATAGATTCGACTTGTAATTTAAGTAGTACTGATATGATGCCTTTTTATTTATTATTATTTAAATACATAAACATTGGTACAAGGAGGCACCAAATAGATATGTACCACATAAATCGTTTGATTTTTGTGAGGGCTGGGATACTGCCCGGGTGCCAAAACCGAAGCAGGTGGTTTTCTTAGGGGGTCACACCCAAAGCCTTCGACCTAATGGTCTAATCCACAAGGCAGTGGAGCAACGTCGGGAGATGTAGTCCCATCGTAACCGGTGAAAAATAATTGGTTCGTACGCCATTTACTCCTTTAAGATACTGGGGCCCATGTGCATGATTGGTTTGGAGTCAGGGTTTTCCAACTCCCCTAGATGAAACCTCCATTTCCACCAACCCTGTTAAAGCGCCGGACATTCGCTTTTCGTCCTCCCAATTTCATAAACAATAGTAATGCTGCGAGAAGACAGTGAATAGGAATTCTCTGGCAGTAGTTGTATGCACGTGGCCATGTGAGAGCATTTCGAGAGGGAGAGCGGACTCTCCCCACTCTCGGTCGTACCAGGGCATTTGGGGGCTTTGGTCCTTGGTCAAATTAAAGTAGGCTGTTCCTAATTAAAGAATGTACAACAACACAGGACATATTTCATTAGTTAAGAATTGCTTGCAAATTCTGTGTAATTTCAACAATACTATTATTGATTTAGATATTTTTTTACAGGAGGGCAGTCATAAATCCTTTGACCATCTAACGCTTTTCATATTTTAAACTTTAACAGTAAACATTTTACTAAACCATCTAATCAATTAGATTCAAGATACATATTCTTCAGCTGAATCAAAAACACTTTAATATCTGACTTGTATCTGATGTAGAATTTTGTTAAGTTAAATATCATCCAGTTTTTAAGACGCTTAAAATAGATTCACATAAGTCTATTGTAAGGTCATGAAGTGAGCTCTAAGTTGATAAGTTCTTCTGTCCTGGATCCGAAATTGTTTATATGGACTTATCATAATCCCTAATCCTAACCCCAAGTTGAGAAAATGTCACGTTATATGGAACAGTCTTGAACATTATTTACTGTGTATAAAGGGTCTGGAAAGGAAGAATACTCGTAAGTCTTATGGATGAGCTGTATTGCAGTGCGTAGCACACTTGTCTTACTTTACTTGTATGCTAAAATCTCATTTTGAAATGATTGGATTATATAATACCTGTAGACTTACACTACAGCTGAAAGGGATTGAATAAATTAAACAATTATATGGTTAAAATTTATGTAGATATTTATACTTTGACAGAAATCCTAAGGATATAGGGATATGTTTTGCATTAGACGAATGATCTTAATCAATGCTTAAATATAGAGTAGAGAGTGGAATATATGGGCCTGTAGACAAACTCCAAAGTCCATCTCCACCAAACCTATTAGTCCTCTTGCTTATCAAATGCCTGTATACTGTACAAATTTCCACTCTATAAGACAACAAAGTCGAAATATATGCATAAATTACTGGTCATTTGATCATAAACACCTTACCATCATTCTTGTGTCATGAAGAAAGTGATTACGTAACTTTGATATCAAGTATAAATTTGTAATCAGAAAAGATAAATTAACGAACGGATAGGACTGTGAGTCAGGGATTGAAGAACTTGATTTCCATCCACCTTGAAATATAAATATCTATAACATAAAGATATTGATGAAGATGTTTTAGGATGGTTTCTGAATGAATATTTAAGAAAACGTGAGATTAGCTCTATTAATTTGTGTTCTATTGTTGACACATTATGGACACAATATACTTAACTATCACTCTTAGGAAAGCCTCCCACCTTACTAAGAATTAAATCACGTTATTATCAATTAAATTACCCAAGATAACCATGATTGATATACTTTGGTGCCAGGTAGTAAAGATTATTGAAACTAGTAGGATATCATGCAGATATTATAGGCAGAGGTGGATGTTAGCTGACAGTGAAATCTACGACGCGCGTTTCACCCTCTTTGGGACTCATATGCTGGATGTATCTGCATCCCAGAGTTCATTTTCACTCCGGGATTTAAACCCAGTAACGTTCGCTTCAAATGCCATTGTTTTATACACTTGGCTACCGTGTCAAATACGAATGAATTACCATACGGATAGTCCAAAAAAATTTATTTCGATTATTATTCATCACGATTATAAACAAAATAAAAGATTGAAGCTGACTTTTGTCACGCATTAACACAATCCTGAGAATAATTATTCACCAGAGTGTAGCTAATATATCCAAAGATGAGATTATTCAATAGTGTAAATCCACAAATATATACATACACGGACCCAAGTGCATCGATTTTTAATTTATTTTAATTCAGATCATGAACCGATCAGTGTTAGACTACAATTGCAAACCTGAGTACACTGGATGGCTATTCCGTCCTAGTAAGGGACTCATCAGCAGTACGTATCCACGATCCCACACACGGAACTCGAACCCAGGACCTTCGGGCTCGCGCACGAACTCGTGAATTCAATTGGTAGAACATCACAATATCCACAA